TGATACTGATATACATTCTCTGTTAACTCTCGGACAGAAAGCAAATAGGAGTATTTCCTAAAATGTTGAATAATTACTTTAAATGGGAGAAAAATAACATGAAAGAAAACACAGACTCAGCACTTGTCTTTACTTAAAATACAACAAATGGAGAAGTTTGTTCATGTTCCCCCTTCTGGAGGTTCAAAGCATTAGCAATCACTACAAATCAAGCACAGAGATTTAATGTACAGAGATTTGCATCATTGGGTGCATATTAAAATAAAATCTTTGAAGCCTACACATTTCTATCATGACACTGGCTAGTTTAAACTCTAGCAGTGCATCTTATTTATAATTTGCATTGAACAACATTAGTAACTAGTAACTACAGGTTAATGTAGTGGAGTAAAAAGGACAATATTTCCTATGAAATGTAAAAGTATAAGGTCTCACAAAATGGAATTATTCACAAAAAGTACTTCAAAACTAGTATACTAAATGTACATAGTTACCTTTTTTTCTTATCTCTTGTCTTATCTCTCGCTTAACCAACCCAAACCTGCATTACTTCCCACAACACAGCCATTTGAACCATTGATTGTGTTATTCTGTTGTTAAAATAAAGTCTTATTTTCAATGCCACTGTATTGATGTACAAACTGCTCTACATGTCATTTGTCAAATGATTCAGCTTTGGAGAAACATTGTTAAACTGTCAGAAAAAGGCTTATCTCACATGACACTGGATGATTGTTTCTGGACATCAAGATGTTCCACAAGAACAAGAAAGTGTTTTTCACTGAAGTTGATGCTACTTTACAGGAGAAGGGAGCCTATCTATTATTGCCAAAGACAACTAAAGTGCATGCTGCTTTACCCACTAACTCAATGGCTTGTACAATAAGTCATAATACATACATTAATATAACATGTAACCCTATAGTACTTATAGGGCTTGCAGCACAATGTGTTAGCATTTTATTAACTTGTATACAAAGTATACAAGTATCACATTTTTCAAACAAAGTGCTATGAGTAACCAAAATTACTTCCAATAATTCAATTCAGCATCACATTCAACCACTGATGATATCACTTTTTACTTTTGTTTGTGTGCTATAGGCATTACTGTTCAACGTAAGCTCATGTTGTGAATAAAAACGTTTGTTGCTTTTTCTTAAATTTTCATAGGCTAATAGACAAACATGGAAGTTTAGCAGTCATGAAATTTGGCACTTCTTCGAGCTTCCCTCAAGCACACAATGCATCCACATCCAGTGAAGAAATATTATGCATAAAATCCAGTGCATTAACTGAACATATTGTATATTTGTACACTATATTATAAGTAAGCATAGGCATCCAGCACTCTGGAAAACTGGAAACTCATCTGAGACTAACAAGGCTGAAGATACTTTCCCTGATTAATGGGATTTGGGGGCGCTACTGGGTTCTATAACCAACATGTTAACACTTTTTAGCTCACCTTAATTTCCTTATAATCAAATACATCCTCTTTGTTACTATCCATGACATGTACATGCTGGTGTTGTGTGCCTATGCTAGCTGTACGTTAGCATAAACCCTTTATAAATGGTACATTGGTTAATTAAACAGTAGTATGCAGTTTTTCTTGTTGTTGCTTTGGTTATGGGTAATACATTTATTTAGTTATGCTTTATTAAGCAGTACTAAAACGAGTTTACAAAGCTTTTGGATTATGAGGTTGTCAAAAATATTTAGGGATCCTCTAACCATTCAAATGACAGCACAAATAGTTTGTTCAAATGCCAAAGTACAACCATTTTCTGGTGAGGACGTCTATTGACCATGTGTATCATGACCTGTCTGTCAGAGCGTGACAGCTGTAGCAATTACGTTGTTGTTATACAGTTTTAAAAACCTGGATATGTGGCGTTTGTTTCCCATTTCCTATCTATACTGCTAATTTCTTTAAACCAATATCTCTTGATATAGATCCTTTAACCTTTAAGAAGTAGTTATTTTTTTAACCTAAACCACAATATACCAAACCTTAACAGTGGTGGCAGATGAGGACACATTAAAGATATCTGCAGATCTAGGCCACTGCCTTCAAAATGGCTAACACACTAATGTACCCAAAATCTGTACATGTGGAAAAGAAACAACAACCAAAGCCCAGAAGATATGTGGCCAAGCGCTAAAGAGCAATTTAAAAAACATTAAATGCACTGGGAGATGATAACCTGTACTCCAAATGGGTTTTTCACAATCTTGTAACCAAAATGTTGTCCATATTACTGACCCATAAAGCATTTATAAAGCATTTTATACTATTGACCTTCATTAAACTATAAGTTAGAATGTATAAGAAAAAGAAAATAAATGGTATGAAAGAGGTTAATCCAAGTTGGCCTGTGTTAGCTAAATTGAAGGAAAGTGTTAGGCCTGGGTTGAGTGATTGTTTCTTTTTAGTTGGCAGTATGAAGAAGAGTTTTAATCACAGAATTTCATGAAAACCACATTTGTTGGATTGATCTCAATCGGTAGAACTCAATGGCAGAAACGTGTTTTAATATGTGAATGCTTCAGGTTTTACACCTCGGAAGTTCGTAGGAGTCTCTTCACCTTTGGCTCTGATGTTAAATAGTGTTATATAGGCATGTACATTTAGGACTTGCAGATGTAATGACCAATTTGGAACATTAACATGCAATGAAACAAACAAATGTACAGCTTCTGCCAAATTCATTTGCATGCCATTGTCAACTTGTTTGGAAGCCATAATAAAAGCATCCCAAAGATGCTTTTGTTCACATGTGATGATGACTGAGTCAACTTTATAGAATAACTGTAGCTTACATTAGAACTATAGAAACTTTCCTCTTTGTTTGTTTTTAGGAGCACAGTAGCAAAACAGTTTGTAGAATTCAAATTAAAAAAATGACAAAACTCAAATTGGCAGCACAAATTGATTGAAACTGACCAGGCCAATTTATTGACGTTGCCATGACCCTAGCAACTTGAAGGGTAAAAAAATGGTTTGTTTGTACACAAAAATACTTCAAGCATTACAATTCAAACTTTAAGGCCTCAATATGCTTTAAAGAAACGTATTTTCTAAGTGTCTAGAAGCCCGGGGATCACAGGGAATGTAAAACGTTATCTTTACGATTACTAAAAAAGAGAGGCCATGATGGCAGACTTTATAGTGGTCATTTGTAACAGGTATAAAAATGTTCCTCCTACATCCTACTTCCTTTGAAGCATACTAAGGCCTTTAGATAGAAGAAAGTTTTTACATGAGTTTGTTGACTTGTAGCTGGGGAAGAAAACCTACAAAAATGCCCCCTACCCCCCCTTTGAAGCATATAATATCAGGACTCAAGAACGCATAGCATGCTGAAATGGCGCTAAACGTGAAGTGGCGGTAGAGCACATTAAGTGAACATTGAAAATAGAATGTTTTATTTTTTTGAAAAAGTGAGGTGATCAGTGATGAGTTGACAGGTTCTCAGACGACTGCCCGATGCTTATTACCTACAAATGAGGCTTCATAAGCTTTTTGGCCGTTTAAGTGTTAACATTAAGTCTTCATTCTCACAAACTCCAGTGGCTTTCCAGCAAAACGTACCGTATTTACATGTATTACATATTATTATGACAAGACAACAACAAATAAATTAATGAGTATATTTATAATAATCTGTCGAAGGATTACTACTTGCTATATTAGGGTTATGTGGAATTGAACAGAGGGTGTATTTGATTGTGAGGAAAACATCTAGCTAATTCTACAGAGTTTCAAAGATTACACAGCTGGTTCACTTTACTAAGGGTATGAGATGTGTGTGTGTTTGTGTGTTGGGGATGGAGAAGGGCTGCATATGTACATTTCTTCATCACTGCATAAAGGCTTTTCAAATCTTTATCTTCCTAGACATCTTCATACAGAAGCACACAAGGCAGTAGAGGACATGGGTTAAGATGATTGTTATTTCCTTCAAATCAAAAGAAAGATGAACACGCTTTGATTTTGTGTGACAACAAAATGAATGGAACCTACCAAACTGATTTCTCATGATTGTTTTGAGTTGGGGCTGACAACTTGCCAACAAGAAACCTGAGTATTAGGGTCTTGTGGACAAGTGAGGATTACATGGATTTACTTAAAAACTGTTTTGGTTAAGATGGACCTGACCCTGGAAGTCACAAACTGGATTTACCAATCAATTAACATTCTGGCCTTCACCTAATATCATGATGGTGAGTGGTCACTTTGGGTTAAGAGAGAGTTACTACCTTAAGTAAAGATCTCGTCTTGGTGTGTGATGTGATGAAATGATATCAACAGACAAACTGTTGTGTGCCAACTATTATGTGATAACTGACGGACTAACCCTAACCCGGACTGTCATAGTTGAGGCAAATCTCCTAACCCTAACCCTAGACCAGTCGAGCTACTTTCCAACCCTGAATGAACGGCGAAGACCAAAAGGAATGAGATTGCCGATCCAAGCAGCAAGGGTTTTCTGCACTGGGTGTCTGTTCTCACCTTTAAAGAAAAAAGGGTGAGCAACTACACACCTGGAAGACTCTATGAGCCAACCCTTCACCTAAAACAGAATCAGTTGACCTGGTTCACCCTGCCTCAAGAACACCTTTCTTTTAGAGGGTATTCGGGCATGTTCAATTGGGTGGAGACACCAGGTCAGACAAAGGTCATTCTGATTGGAATACAAAGGTCATCGCATCGGGGAATACCTTGGAATCCCCCAGGAATAGCTAGTGGATGCGGCTAATGGAAAGTATAATTGGACTACCATGCTTAGACTGGAACCAGGATGAATACATGGAAATGATCAGCTCACACACTAAATAAACTGAAAACTAACTGGTTCCTACCACTGGGAAACCATCTCTAGCATTTTAAATGAAACTAGTCTAATTGTCTATTCAAAAGGGAATGCTATACATCATTTATAAATATTATAGGGAAATATTTGAGTAATTTCTTTTTTTAGGGAATCCAGAATATGAGCTACCAAATCAGAATGTTAGCAAAGAGTAGGGCCTCTTTTGGCTTGATAATACATGATTATCATATCCGAATCAGAATCATGAGAACGCAGTTTGGGTTAAGACCAAATAAGGTGATCACAAATTAACAGAGATTTTTATAAATAAATTACAAAAAATAGTTTGTGATCACGTGAAAACAATAATCACACCCATGGTCTTCTATCCTTCTATATCCTCACTTCACTCCTGGCAGCAAATGATAGGGCATCGGTATAGATGAGTGGTGACTTTCTTTGGTTACAAACATTACGGTAAAAATATATTATCCCTCCTATTTTGCTATGCTCCCTGGAAAATGTCGAAGATTATGGCCACTCTACTAGGCCTTTGCTAAAATATGAATCTTTAATGGATTTCTCCTTTCTTTCCATACTTTTTGACGATTTGACTCATTATTAGTCTTAGAAAAAGGCCCAGTCATTCTTACACCTATAAAATTGCATACCAGAAGAAGAAAGGGGTCGAAGTCAAGAAAATAGTTGGTCAAGGCAACAGGGAGGTAAAATAGTTGTACAGTATACAAACTGAGATGTTTTCCCAACAAGATTCTTCTCTCTGGCTCAGATTAATGGTCGGGTGTCCCACCCTCTAAATGGGCATTTAAAGGGAGATTTAGAGAGTGTAACAAGTGTGTGTTTTCTGCGCTATGGATGCTTGATGTCATTTTAATGCCAAAGGGGCAATTAAGAAAATGTAAAAAAATGTGTTAAAACATTTAAGGCCTGTTAAGATGCCTTTATAAAGTTTAAAATGTAGTGGCTAATGGCCTACATGTAGGCCAAAGGTTTTGAGTATTGTGTCCTCCAACAAGTTCATTATTTTCTCTATGGCGACACACTGGTATTGTGCTTATACCATGGCCACTCACCAAAAAAACAAGTCTACAGCAATGCTAGCAGCTTTGCAAGGCTGTACAGGCACAGCGATGCTTTGAGCTAAATGCTAATGTTAGCATGCTAATATGCTCCCAATGACAGTTAACATGATCATTTTTAGCAGGTATAATATATAACATGTATCCCATTTCAGTGAGGCATGTTATCATGCTAATTTAGCATTTGCTAATAAATAAAAAATAAGAGCTGAGGCTGATGGGAATGTAATTAGTTTTGTAGGTATTTGAGTTTTAAACAAAATGAAAATGGTGATCTGATTATGGTGCCAGATGAAAAGTCATTCAAAGTTATTACAATCTATCCCGAGGAGACATGCATGTGTGTATTAAAAGTTGGACTAAATTGTCAGCCAATCTGTGTGAAATGCTGAAATATTTCACTGCATAAGTAAAAACCGTATGCCTACTGGTGCCGTTATGAAAAGTCAAGGGATTATAGAATTTGTTAACTCTACCACATTTCAGGGCGATTCATCTAGCAGGCTTATTTGTCAAGATACTTCTGTCTGTAAAAAAGTGATGGACCAACATACAAACCAACATAGCCATGCAGTTAGCATTTCAATAGACACGTGCCAATTGTTCAGAAATGAGTACTGTCCTTGGCCATGGTATAAACCACAATATTCTGTTTATGTCTGGACAATAAACTAGAGATTAGTGTGCTCTAACATGTTTGAAGTTGTCCTTCTGAAGTTGACAGCATTTTTCAAAAGGCGTTTGCCAGCTAAAGATGGTTAAAACATCAGTATATTTCTGTTAATTCAAACAGTTGTTTCCGTTCTCCTCCTCCCTGCATTAGCTGAAGCCAGTAGTAAACTCCACAGTAGTCTGTTAAAAAATTTCAAGCATTAGCATTTTGTTTGGCATTATGCTGGCAATCTACAAAAGTAAGCCTCAACTTCACTTACAGCTTCAGAAGTTATTCATTTCTGTTAAAATGTTATTGCAGCATTTAAGTGAAAATATTAAATTAGTAACATATATATACAGTAAAAGATTTAGAAACAATAAAAAAGACAAAAGCTAAGACATAAGCTTGAACATGACGAAGGATAAATTGCCAGCCGTTTTGTGACTGAGCATGTTCATTTAAAATGACAGGCTTTGTTTGTTGTTTCTGCAGAGATTTGTTGTTGTTGTTTACAAGGAATAGCCTACTAGTTGAAAGATGCACCCATCAACAAAAGAGTGATGGGATCTGTTAATTACCCCTATTTGATCCTGAACTATTCCTTTCATTCTAACGTAGACACAACCTGTCTGTAGTTTTAATAAAGTGCCTTCAGAGTTGTGCAGATTTAGTAACCCAACTCAGCTTGTGTACATATTTAAAGGTTAATATTTACAGAAAGAACGGAGATGAAAGGTTTGAGATGCCCTAAGGGTAAAAGATTGTGTTTCTTATAAAAGAATAGCATTTGCATGTTGACTGTTTTTAGGTTTCAGGGTACATCACTGCTACCGGTGTGAGAAAGCCTTCCCAAGCTCATCACTCTTATTATACCTTCCCCAGTCAAATGACATACAGAGGGTGGACATATTAATAAAAACCCCTGTAATCATAGTCAGGATAAACTAATAAAGTAATGATTCAACTCCATATTTAAATTTGAGGATTGAGTTTGTAGTGTTGTTGCTTTGGACTGCATCAGTTTCCAATCATTGGATTGTATACATTTAAGCAATGTGTTGGGCCAAAAACCCGCCCAATAATCATCTTTCAATTCAATTTGTGTTTGACTACTCTTGGAAGCCCTTTAAATTGGGTTGAATAAGAAAAAAAAGGTATGTATGCATTTTAAGGGGTTATCTGGACCCATGGAAACATCTACTGTTAATGTTTAAGCCCCTTCTCTTTTTTGGTCACAAAGTATTAACCACACCTCAAAACTATAAGGCCTTAAAAATTGTACCTAAAAATATGAGGTTGTATCAACACCTCAAACAACAATTGAATATCATAGCCTTTACAAATGTATTTGTAACAGACTTATTGTATCTGATTACTTCATGTTATTTCATGTCCACCCTCTGTATATATTTAGGTATCGTCAAATGAAACTGCGCTACCAGCAAAAACTTGTTTTGTTTTGTAGAACCTACATTTTGTTTGCCTGGTTTCTACCTCCTCAATACAAAGGTTTTGTTTTTGTTGTGTAATTGAGTTGTGTCCACTCCTTGTTGTTTTGCCCCTTGTCCTTATTCCTTTCTGGCTCCAACGTCTCCCACTCCTCTCCATCCACCTCCCGTAGCTAGATGACGTCTGACTCCACCACGCATTGCTCGGTGTAGTCCTTCACCAGCTCCACGTTCAAGATGTTGCGGCAGAATTCCATCATGGGCTTCCAGAGTGGGGGGTCCAGGAACATCTGGCACATCACGTGACCCTTCAGAGTGGCAGTGTGGCGCTGCAGGTGGCACAGGAACTGCTGCCGGACATGATCCAGGTCCTTACCGAACATGTCAATGTTCAGGTAATACCTGTTTTAAAAGAAGTGTACTGGTCAATTGAGTGAAAATAATTTCTTGTTCTAAAATAACTGGAAATCTTAACCCTCCTGTCGTGTCTGTTTCTCCCCCCTCACTTTGGTGTTCCTGGGGAAATTTGACCGTTCTGTAACTTTAACTTCTCTTACATTGAAACAAGAACCATTCAAAATCACCACATTTTATTTAACACCATTTTAAGATGTAAACAATGTCTCAGACTTCTGGTTTAAGTGAATGGGTGTGTACTATCTGATGAACATACTCTAGAGTTACCCATTCATTTCCTATGGTGGTCATTTTTGACTGGGAACACCATCATTGTTACAAAGTTGACTAAACCACTCAAAATTCAAAGAAAGTGGTGATCAGCAACTTTATATGTTCAAATGCCGACTGTGGAGGATATCATAAGGCCTGGAGGCAATCAAATATAAAACACAATATTTATGATTGATGAAAGAAGTAATCGGTCCAATTTAATCCGAACACCACAGGAGGGTTAAAACAACTATGTAACAAATTAGCAACTTTGGCACCAATGGCATTATTGTAAGACAACATTATTGCATATTTTTCTGCACAGTAGTTGTCCCTGAATTTCAATGATTATAATAAGAAAGAAAGTAGAGTTACCAGTCATCTCCAATGGGCACCCTGAAAGGGAATGTACAGAGGCTGGCCACAGTAGGGTTGGCCACATCATCGACCATCCAGTCAATGTCCTTCTTCAGTACAATAGCCATGTTACTGGGTAGAAGCTTGAATGGCTGCCAATCTTGAATGATGGTGGCGTTAGGAAGGACCCCATGCATCCGATCAGAGGTCAGATACAGCCGGCGGATGGCTGTATTGTCGAGACGCACTGGAGGAGGTTTGAAGGAGGTGGACAAAGAAGATTGAATATCTCCAAGACCAAGATCAGACAGACGCAGCTTGAGTTCTTCAGCCCTGAAGCGCACCAGGAGAATACCCTATAGAGAAGAAAGCCAATGCAGGAGCTGACCATGGACTATATCGTATATATTTACATCAATAGTAAAACCAACTGACTTAAATTGAGGCTTATAAAGCACAGGCCTATACATAGAAAGGCTTGTTGCTTGTACCTGCTTGGTTATGAGGCGATATTTCTGGAAATCCTTGGGTCCGAGCTGATCGTCACGGGTCAAGCGGGTTACTCTGGCATCAGCGAACTTGGATTTGACCAGATCAGAGCAAAAGCGCAGCAGAACCCCAGCCACACCCTTACCCCTTTCCTGAGGGGCGACACGTAGACCTTCCACCAGCATCGTCTCCCCATCGTCAATCACAACCACTGACTCCAGAGCAATCTGTTGAGTAGAAGAAGAACATGTTGGGAAGAACCCTTTGGATACTTTGCCTTCTGCCAGTGAAAGTTATCTAAAACACGTTCAATGTCATTGAGTCGGATAAGACGTAAACATAGAAAGAGGTCTCCCAAAATACTCAAAGCTGGTGTAGTATGTATACTTTATGCTACACTTAGCATAAAGTAACTACTATCAATTGAAAGTGCCACTAAAGAGCTCAATGTATAGTTTCTAGCCAAACAACAAGTCAGCATCCGTGCTTGGCGTGTACAGGTTACGATTTAAAATTCAGTAATTATATAATAGTTCCTAACCCAAGTAACCCCCCTTTACTACGAGGTTTGTCTCGATTGCTGTCTTGCTAGAAGTTAGAGGGGTTAATCATATTGGTGGGCTCTACTTTAGAGAGACTGGTCTGGGACATGTTAGCATGGCAGTTAGTCTCCAAATTAGGACAAAGGTGACTCCCAGTCATTCGCAATTGTTTCATTTGAATACTGTGTGTTCTTAGATAGTTGGAGAACGGAAAGTTCCCAGTAGGTTTCTGCTTATTAAACGCAGTTGCTGAGAAATGAAACCAACGAGGAATGGCCTTAATTATGACAAATGTAATTGTTGACTTTTTAATTTTAAGTCATGAAACTCTTACTTTTGCACAGAGAAATGTATTGGGTAAGAAAACTATTTTCCGACTTCTGTAATTCAAGAATTCATCTTTTTCTACATCCATAAGTTGTTATATTACTTATAATCAAATATTTGTATTGAACTTACCACTTTTCCCTGTTTGCGGGCCAATATGACGGTGCGGTTGGTCTCCTGCAGCCAGTCGGTGTATCTTGTGGGCAGGTAGTCGAGGCCTCCATAGATACCCTGGCTCATGCCCATGATCTCATCAAAGTCCTCCTCAGTGGCCACAGAAAACTGAAGGCCTGCCTGGGACAGGGCCTCTGGGAGCTGGAGCATGGTCAGGCTGGTGTCAATCTTCATCTTGAAATAACTGATGAGATACAAAGTGGGGGAGAGGTTATTATGGATTGTAGTTATTTTCTTAAACAAGGATTTGGAAGAGCCCAAGAGCTGTCCCAACCCCGGTGCAACATTCTGGATGGGGCTAAACAAGCTTCTTCAAAATGTGTCTGCTTGGATAACAGGTGTTTGTGTCAAATCCACACCAAATGAGACTCTTAGTGCTCAATTATAACACATTCAGTAATATTTCTGCCACTTTAAATAGATTTAATGGAAAGAATAATCACATTAGTGACTCCCGGCACAAATGCTTTACGTGTTATGGCTTGCACAGTGTAAATGAAACATACTGTAAGCAGCCTGTGAAAGCAGAGTAATAGCAGTGGTAAAACACAGACAGACAACATCTATACACGTTTATTTTTTTCACTTATTACATAATATAGGAATCCAATACAGTTGAAAAATAAATAGGAATTAAATTGATGAGATTGGTGTAGGAATTGACAACTAAAAGCAAAGCAATGCCAGTGAAAAACCTTTCATTTTCATTCAATCGCCAAAAGAGTGAACCAAACACAAATGACTGCCAGGAATGATAATGGCCAGTAACTGAATGAGATTGAGCAACAGATGAGTAGAAAGCAGAATATGATGGATCAGACAGATAGAGAAATGCAAGAAATAGGGAAATAAATCACAGATGAAACCAACTGGAGAGGCAGAAACAGATCAATCACAACAGACACAGGAAGTGTAAGACTGGCACCTATCTTGATCCCTATATCTTTTCCGATTAATCTGGTAAATCCATACCCCTCAGCTCTCTAATCCCTACACTTATACCCTCTCCACATTGTAATCACTGGTATTTGTCCAGAACTTGGCTAAAGAATTTACAGAATTAAAAAGACAAGATAAAATAGAGAAAGCTTTGAACACATTTGTTTCATCACACAACCTTGAAGCCCACAATGCTGTTATTTCACCCAGATAAGACACATCAAGACAAAGTCAAGATCAAAGTGTTGTGGGCGCTAACCAAAAAAAATAAATATTGAATAATATTGAAGAAAAGAGTGCAGGTGTTAAGGCTCTGCACCGAGGAAAGCAAAAACAAGATGCTTGCTCTTACGAAGTTTTTTGCATTTAATTAGGTCGAGATGCAAGGTATTAACACATGATGTAGTACAGTGTGATCGAATCAAATAAAACAAGCTTGTGCAAAAGAAAGACATGCAACATAAGAAGCCATATAAAAGAGTGATAAAATATGATAAGATATAATTAAGAACGCAAACATAAAAAAGCATATACTGTAGGTAGGGTTACAAAGTAGTTTGTTGGACATAAATTCCAAAAGCTGTCAAATTCTGAAAGCTTCCCCCATTGATTGGATGTTTTGAATAAAACACATGTTAGTGCCGTCAGCAGTTTTGGATGGTGATTCCACCTTTCATAGTAGGCAATATGTAGTAAGATAACTCCTTCTTAACCTGCAATGTATGTATTTCACTGGGAGGGAATAAAGCATGGAAGATTCACAATAAGTCTCTCCAGTTTTCACCCCCGAAGTAAAGGTGCCATAACCAACCAGCTGGATAACACTGCAATGGTTCTCTGTGAACACAACACATTGTACTGTTGCACTTGATGTCACTCAAGACCAATCTGCAGTTACTGTTACCAAAGTTCAACCACAGGTCTTTGACACAAACTTGAACAGTGCAACCCATGCTCATAAACGTTAATGTTTCAAAATTGGCTGCAACATTGAGTGTTTGCATTTGCACTGATGACAAAGAATTATAAATGGTACCTAGCCCTAGCTTTGATAGCTGTACAGAGATTGGAAGAATACCAACAACAAGATCGCAAATTGTAATCCAACAAACAGTTTGCTAAACTACCTCATTGAGGTCTTAGTTACTGAAGCCAAACCATTTATTGTCCATAACTGAGGCTTCTGAGACAAAAAATACAATAGCAAACAAAGACAACCATCCAACTATCCAACTTCAGATCCCCAACCGGCCTCTCCAGAGCATAGACATACAGTATGTGTCAAAACAGAAAGGAATACCGAAAAGAAGAAAGACCGAGCCAAACAGTCCAAGTATTGGCTCAATGGACAACAACAAAGCTTTCAAATAAATGCAACGCTACTCCTGACCAGAAACAGATACAGGACACCAGGCACACACTGTGGAAACACATTCACAATCAAGCCTTTGTATCTATCTATCGTTATATGAACCCTCAAAACAACTTGTGTTTCACATTTGGACCATCAATGGTAGCATGCACCCCCTCTGTTTTTCTGCTTTGGCTCCTCCCCTTCCCGGTAGGTTTATTTCCAGCGGTTACTATGATAACAGGTTCAGGAAGAATGGGACCACTATCAACCTCCTCTTCTGCATAGACCTCATCTGCCCATTTGTGAACACATGGTTGCAAAAAGAGAGAGGATTACTGAGACTGAATGGCTTGAACCAACAGATGGGCACACAGACACACAGCGCAGCTTTATTCTTAAGGATTTCACAATCACAAAGGGGGCCTAGAGCAAGGAAGACATACAGAAAGAGTGTGACTGTACTGAAGTGCCACACTAAAAAATGTATACAAGCAAGACACAAAAGTCATTACATATCCATCCGGGTAGTTAAGTTGAACACCTGAACACATAAAGTCCTGGATTGTTCTTGCATAAAAGGGAGTAAGGATTCTAACTGTCAACAAGTCCAGCACCCTGACACTGTGCAACCTCAGAAAATAAAACGGCCGGGGTTAAGTGACTACCAAGGCCAGTGTCCTGTGGACCACCTATGAATAAATCGTTATGGTGCCTTCCAAGGACAAACTGTTCCAGAGTGCAGCTGGTAAGGGCTATACTACAGCAAAGAAAATATGACGATCGAGGAGACTCAAGGATATTTCCTAGTCACCAAAACGAAAGAGCAAGAGGAGGCACTAATCACCAGAATAACAGAAACCCTCTGCCGAATAGGACCCAAGGTGCGGACTGGGTCATTCAGTTGGAGAACAACCATGTAGAGAAACTATGGTGTTGAGAATGCTAGAGAAATGAAGTACTGAAACTCCAAGATGAAAGCAAGATCTTTCCACCCCCCAGGTTGGATGTGGTTTGGTCGGGCATAATCAAACAAAGCAACCGCAATTGGATGCCGGGCAAAAGAAGCTGGCGAGATCACCTGGAAAGGGCGGTCTTGGCTTGTTTCAACTCTGGAACATTTTTGCAACAAAACACGCACTTCCTTATATGAAAAACAGCTAAGACAAACATCCCTACGTTTCTAAAGTTAATCAAAGTTTACTTTAGAAAAAAGAGGGAGCGTTTTAAGACAAATCTTTCCTGAAATAGTTCTGACCCATGTCAGGTACCTTGCTTGCACATGGTATTTGTTCACAACTTTTGAAGTGCAAATGTTACTGAATCAGATGCCAACAAAGTACAGGTCTGAAAACGCCCTCACTGAAGGGTCGAGGGGTTATAGAGAATACTAATTATGTTTCAAGCCTTCGTTACCTGCTTCGTTACATTGATACCAATTTGTCCAAAGAAGTGACAAAATGATGAAAGGTTTTTGAAAATGTAATTTATTACAAGATCTAGAATCCTTAAAATTTTGAAACACAACTTTGACCTCCTTTTTGAAAATACATGAGACACGTCTACAGTCTACGAGGTGGTAAAGACTGTAGACGTGTCTCATGTATTTTCTGCAGCACTATGTTGCAGATGTTTTATGACTTGGTGGTCTCCAGTGTCATCTTCTTTGCTGTAGTGTGTTGGGGCAGCGGGGTGAAGACAGCTGATGCCAACAGACTCAACAAGCTCATCAGGAGAGCAGGCTCTGTCCTGGGAGTGGATCAGGAGTCGTTGGCAGTGGTGTCGGAGAGGAGAATGTTGAGGAAACTTCTCAACATTCTGGACAACGGGTCTCACCCCCTGCATACCACACTGGTTCCCTACCGGAGCACTTTCAGCCACAGACTGAGATCACCGAAGACCACCACACAGCGCCACAGGAGGTCTTTCCTCCCAGTGACCATCAAACTCTTTAACCCTTAAGTAAAGGGAACTGAGAACTTCCCAATATAAATATAATTACCATCATTACAATACACTCGCTGCTATATAACTATGTGCAATATTAGTATTATTAATAATATGCTATGATAATGTTGAGCAGGACAACTTAATATTTGCCTGACTGGTGTAGACAGAGTGTAACTGTCACAGTTTAACAAGAGAAACTGAAGAGTACATAGTGCTCTACAAAAGCTAATTCTTTAGATGTTTTGTAATAATGTCTAAAACCCTACCCAACATTCCCCTTCCTCTAACAAATGGATGAAAACATCATTCTATGTTCTTTGTTACTTTGCTTAGATTGGTTATTTGTTGCTAATATTATTACCCTTATTTTGTATTTGAGCACTGTCTTTTTGATTCCATTGAGAGAGGGGATTGGATGTGGTTGGTCCCTTAGGGGTGTTTCTGGTTAGGAGAGGCTAACACAGAAATGCTAGTAATATTCCAATGATCTATCAATGGGCCATGTGAGCTGTAAGGGCATTTGTAGAGAAAACACTGTCTGGTCACAGCAGACCCACACATACACACTCTGGACTCTGGTATTTTTCCATCATGCTTTGATGATTTGAGATGGGGTGTGAGGCTTAGCTGGGTACTCTGGTCCTGCCAATGAGAGCGATGCTGTTTTGTTTTTGTGTTTCTCTCTCACACACTCATTGATTTACTCTTGTCCTATTCACTCTCTCATGCTTTCACTTCCTCCCTCCCTCTCTTTGGCTGGCGGTGTACTCCAAACTAAATGGAATTTGGCACATTTGCAAGAGACTGTTGAACTGCAATCAAATACGCCACTGCAGGCGATTGCCAGTTTTATTTGCTGCAGATTGGGGTCCGGTCATTTAACGATGCCTGTGCCAGATGGGGGAGCTTTGGAATTGGGTTTGGGAAGGACACAATGGACACAA